TATGTGACAAAACTTCCTTTAGCAATACACTAATTCAGAATACTCATAAATTCTTTTCTTAGTCGTTTTCGATTTTGCACAAATGTGATTCTCAATTTATTTATTTCTACCAGAATTCATCTATGAAGCCTCAAAAAGTAGTCTCTGTTCAATACATGCTATTTTTTTGCTCAAAAAAATACATGCATAATGTGTAACTTTTCTGTCAATTGAAAGCGAGTTTCGTTAACCTGTTAGATTTATATTAGATTAACCGCACCTGTGTGTTTCTATCAGCTTTTACTGTATGTTCTTCAGTGGATCAGGTGCATCAGGCTGTAGGTGTTGTTGACCGCAAAGCTATAAATCCACCTATGCATAATGCTTTTGTCCCCGCAACTAAGATCAATTTTCTTTTTCATTTATGGTGAAATCTTATTCTACAAGAGGCAAAAAGTCAATACTGATTGTTCTTAATGTTAATGTGTTTATATTTTGTAATCTTTTTCTCGCTTTCCCAAGATTGGTTATAGATACTTCGCGGATGTTACCTGCGAAAGCTGGAATGATCTCTTCAGTGTATGGTCAGACTAGGGAGGGTTATTTTTTGCTCTACTAATGTTGCATGGACCAATGTTCAAAATCTAATATAACTAAAAGTTCATTGCTTAATTAATAAACTTTCCAAAAATTATGAGCGAGAAACTGTGATTATCAATAGTAACGTTTGATTCATCCCAATATTTAAGATTACAGGGTCAAGGTTCCTTTTCCTTATAGTAACCATGGTTTTATTATTTGGCTTCTTCTGCATATCCTTTAGCAGTACTGAAAGGAAGAAACTATTGTTGTGAGAGTCTCATGGCCCATTAGAACACCCTCTTCAGAGAGAATACTCCAGATCTATTGTATGATTTAGTTGTGGCATTGATTTTTATTTAGTACGAATACTCACCTAATAAATCTATTAAACAATCTAAATATAACCGACTCACAGATTAGCTTGTGCCATTGTTGATTTTTTATTTATCGTGTTATTCTTATTTTTGAGATTGCAGGCCTGGCACATACTGTTTCCAAATATATTATATACCTAACTAATCATTTGGCGTCTCAGGCGCAAGAGCTTGAGGCGTTTGCACAAATTGCTTTCTTCACACAAGGCCATGGATTTGATCATCGATGGACGTCACCGACCACCTATTCTAACTCTGGCAAGTACCCGATGATACATGATCCCACCAGCTCTTGTGATGTACCATGTAAACTACCGTGTGATCTGCCTTTTTTTGTGAACACGGCCTCTTTGGCACGTCTATCCATCCTTTTGTACTCAATATCTACCTTGTACAAATATTGCATCCTTTATTTTACCATGTATGAACATTTACATCCTTTAAATGTGTTTACTATCGTTTTGGTCGCTATGGAGATCTGTTGTTACTATCGTTCTGTATCCATTGATGATGTCTCCTATTATATGTGAATGTTCTTTTCTTTTGGTTATCATGTTTGAATACGTATGCTAAACCTGGCTTCCTACTAAATTGAGTATTATTTGCTTGGCTAGATCGTTGGGACCGGCACCCTCGCGCCAAGAAAAGAAAACAATAATTAATGGTTGGTTTCCCCACTTGAATGGTTGAGGAATTCATTCATTTGGCAAAATGTCTCCCTCTTTTCACGCTGCTTGCTTATCATTGTTATGCGGCATCTGGAATCTTTTTTGAGTAAATTGTTGTTTGTTATACTCAACCATGTCTCCATCTATATAAATGTATCTTCCTTTTTTGTTTGACTTCTACTTATACATAATATAATATGCAGGGCAGGGTAGACAACATGTGCCGTCAACCGTCGACAGTTCAGCTGTCACCAAATGAGCAGCTTGCTGCTGAAGAAACCTTCAAGTTGTACTGCAAGCCAGTTGAGCTCTGCAATGTTATCCAAAAACGAGCCCTTGATAATGTATGTATCTATGTAACCTCCCTCCCTGAATCCTTACTGCTCGCCTTGCTTTTTATTTCATTTCATACAACAACAACAATACAATGATGACTGGTTCTCCTTTGCATTGCAGCCCGCTTTTCTACAACTCCTTTACATGATACAGACAAGCTGCACAAAGAGGTTCCGCTGGCTCCACTAACAACCGTCTACGGGCGCTTGCATAGGTCAGGTGAAACCTGTCCTGTCCCCTCTCTGATTTTACTGGACGGTTGCAAAAATATGATGAGTTGTGACTCGGGAATTTTTATAATCAAAAGAAGTAATCACAGATGTAAACATTGCTAACTCTGCAAAGAAACATGCATCTGATCTAGGGACTATTGATGCTCGCAGATAGTAGTAAAGAAAGTGATATTTAGATCCAGGCAGTGTGATGATTTTAACTCTATTTCTTTGACGTGCTCTTCGTGTAGTTAATAGCTCTGTAGGTGTTTCCTCGATTGATTAGATGTTGTCTAGGCCTTCTATGTAGATGTATTTTGTTTATAAAGCGCAAGCATTCTACGTGCTAATTAGATTTCTGTCTTTGAAGGTGATCATATTGATCTTACCTTATCGACTGCTCTTACTAAAACAAGTTGTATTTTCAACTGATTAATATCCCCGTTGTTCTTAAAAATGCTCATCACATGCTCAAGACAATCTGATTAACCGATAGACTTAACGTATCTTTTTTTAACACTATGTCTGCTTTTATCTGCGACTGATTTCTCTGATATCTCTCCCGTGCTGTGATGCAATTACTGTAAGCAGCTCCTCGTGGCCTTATGTTTTATGTTCTCGGGCACTGCAGGATACCAAGCGAGTGTTTAGGATCCCACACCGGGCATTTCTTGACATGCTCCTAGCACACCTTACGCTAATCACCGGCTCAGTATGACCGTGTTGTGCATGACGACGGCAAGATCTGTGTGACCATCTTTTTCAACACCTCTACATTGGATCTTGGAGGACCAATCAGTATGAACGTGTCACATCCCTAGCTTCGGGTAATGCACTAGGCTAGACCTCTTGCTGCATCATGTTTAAATTCAAATGAAATTTGAATTGAGGAATTTTCAAAGCCTCAGAAACCTCTAAAAATAACCAACAATTAAATCTTCTCAAATGTGTCCAAGAAAATGTTCCTGATATCCTCTGGAAATATTGGCAAGAGGTAAAATCCAAACCAATATTTTTGGTGTCTCAGAAACATTTAATTTGGGCATTTGAATTAAATCAATAATTATTTGAATTGGATTTATATCTACTA